CTATTTTTTTGAGGTACTTAAATTAGCAATGATTATCAAAGATTTTCAATCTCATCTGGACATCTTACATCTGACACACCATTCCTCGTGCAATAAATGTTTTCTACTCACGTCTCCTCCTATTGAATGTTAGGAAAATGGGGTAAATGCTCAGCCAAATGTCGAGCATTTATGCCACTCCCCGAGTACCCAAATCCCCTAGATCGGCATCCGACATCAACTGAGCATTGAATTCTCGGGAGGAATAATTCTTCGGGAGAGCCGATCGCGTCGTCTCGGCACATCAGTTATTAATGCTTAGCCATCATGACAGTAGGTTTAAACTCCCAGAGGACAGGTGCTGGCAGGCGCACATTTATTTGTCTTGTCACTATCACTCATTCCGCCATGAATGAGGGGTCACATAGTATTAAATACGATGTCAACTGTCGTAATCGGCTGCTTCGCGTCACCATACCTCGGCTTACCTCTTTGGCACCCTTTGGATATCCCAACGGCTTCATTATTCCACGTGTCAACCCAGGAGCTATAGAGTCAACTAGAGTCTCGCCATGAAGTATTCAATATGATGATTTCAGTCTCTAAAAGGTGTTCCTCTCTTTCGACGATGTAAATCTACACTCCAAGCTGCTTAATCAGGATATGCATATCCAAGCTATCAATAGATTACAAATTTCTTTCAATATATTTGACACTCGACGTATGAATATGTATAGACAGGAGTATAGAAAAATTGGTGTATGATAAAAATACTTATAAGGATAATAGAAAAATTGAATGGCATGCACATCTGTGCATACTTAAGGATATCGTGATGCTTATAATATGCCAACTTTAGAGTAAGTGGTAGAGAGTTCTTTGAACTCAAGATATATTATATTCTTTTCCAATTGGCTGTTTAAGGGAGTTCAATACGACAACGTTATTTTAAGATGAGATTGATGGCAAAATGCATCTGTCGATTCAACTAACACAAACCTAAAAGTATCTCAGCATTAAAGAGCCATGAGTAGCCAACTAAGGATATGAAAACAAGACAAAACAAAACAAAAAGAAGATTAAATACAAGTTGGGGGCATTGGAGGGGGTCGTCTATCTCAAATGCACCTTGATTTAATAATTGGTGAGCAACATTCTTCTATCAGATAACAAAAAACTGGAATCATGTCTTGATAAATGTTTTTAAAAAACAGGATCAGATATAAAAGGACAAAAAACAGGTATGTCCCTTTTGGCTGTAATAGATTCAAACATAGACATCAACCACAGTTGAAGACACTATTGATCCCAGACAGCAGGAGAGCGCAGATTGTGCCTTAACGCCAACCACTTGGCTTGCCAAGAGTTATGCAACCTTACTGAGGCTTTGGCCTTTTTTTTAATGGAATAGGGGTAGGGGNCCACTTGGCTTGCCAAGAGTTATGCAACCTTACTGAGGCTTTGGCCTTTTTTTTAATTGAATAGGGGTAGGGGTAGGGGCCATGCAAATGAAGAGTACCCAGACGGAATAATTTTCATTGCCATAATTTCTCTGATGTTTATGGGACCAGACCAAAGTAGCTGAATACTCTGCAATGAGTTCAATAACAGCTATAGCAGCATCTTGTTTGCTACCCGGTTGGGCAAACCTTAGAAGGGGACAATAGTGGTAGGTGTCATGAATGATGGAATGGAGATGGAGTCCTCACCTTTTGGAAGAGAAGGACGCTGAAAAATACCCTAGTGGCATTTATAGGAACGTGTCGCAATGTGGTTACAGTATGAGCAACTTGGCAAGTGAAGGGTGGGGGTCGGGGTGTCCTCCACCTTGTTCTAGCTTTGGGATTTGTCCACGCACCCATTCATTATTGGGTTGATGGATTCCCACCAAAGACTGAAACATCGATCAGGACAAGAAGGGAAAACTGTAACAATCACATCAAACCTAATTAATAGCCTGCTGGACCTTTTTGTTTTCTTGTTCTTCTCGTAATNTAATTTCTCTGATGTTTATGGGACCAGACCAAAGTAGCTGAATACTCTGCAATGAGTTCAATAACAGCTATAGCAGCATCTTGTTTGCTACCCGGTTGGGCAAACCTTAGAAGGGGACAATAGTGGTAGGTGTCATGAATGATGGAATGGAGATGGAGTCCTCACCTTTTGGAAGAGAAGGACGCTGAAAAATACCCTAGTGGCATTTATAGGAACGTGTCGCAATGTGGTTACAGTATGAGCAACTTGGCAAGTGAAGGGTGGGGGTCGGGGTGTCCTCCACCTTGTTCTAGCTTTGGGATTTGTCCACTCACCCATTCATTATTGGGTTGATGGATTCCCACCAAAGACTGAAACATCGATCAGGACAAGAAGGGAAAACTGTAACAATCACATCAAACCTAATTAATAGCCTGCTGGACCTTTTTGTTTTCTTGTTCTTCTCGTAATGGCCCAACCTGACCTGAGAAACTCTTTAATGTACAATAAAAGGACAACACCCCCAAGAGCATGGTCTCTATGCGAACGCACACCCTGGAAATAAGACAACGCCAAGCTCTCCACCAAAACCCATCTAACTCAGCGTAATCACTGAAGAACATACGAACCAGTTAAACGACCTAACAATCATCTTTTTTTTTGAGCTATTGCTCTCACCACTCACATTTTTACCATTCCACAAAATTATATGGTTAGTTGGACCATCCTTATGCTTCGTCTCGCGTGACGAAAAAATAGAAAGATAAAAAGTTGAAATGATGAAAAGTTGAAAGTATGAATAAAACATCATATTTAGTAAAAAAAAAAAATAAGAAAGATGAAAAAATGGATAAATTAATTTTCCTTTCAACTCATTAAAATCTCTCTCCAAAATCGGAAGGGAAAGTGAATAAAAAATTAATTATTTGTATTATGATANTATGGTTAGTTGGACCATCCTTATGCTTCGTCTCGCGTGACGAAAAAATAGAAAGATGAAAAGTTAAAAGTATGAATAAAACATCATATTTAGTAAAAAAAAAATAAGAAAGATGAAAAAATGGATGAATTAATTTTCCTTTCAACTCATTAAAATCTATCTCTCCAAAATCGGAAGGGAAAGTGAATAAAAAATTAATTATTTGTATTATGATATATCTTATTTATCTATATATCTTTTGATATATACATATATTATGTATACATTAATTTCATATAAAAATACAATAATAAAATATGTATTTATATGTATATATATTTAAAAAATTAAAATAAATTTAAAATTTAAAAAAAAATTAAATTAAATTAAAAATATATTTTTTTTTCATCTTAGTTAGGAGTCAAANTCTTTTGATATATACATATATTATGTATACATTAATTTCATATAAAAATACAATAATAAAATATGTATTTATATGTATATATATTTAAAAAAATTAAAATAAATTTAAATTTTAAAAATAAATTAAATTAAATTAAAAATATTTTTTTTTTCATCTTAGTTAGGAGTCAAATTTTTTGACTCAACACGATGATACGAACTTGATTATAACTCAACATGAACTTAAAAATGATCTAACACGCGAATAAGAAATATAAATAACTCATATTCAGTTTAACCCATCAAACTCAAAATTAATATCATCAACCCGTTTATTTAAAAATAAACACTTTCTCTATTTTCTCGTTTGTATGGTAACATGAAACTAACATGTTTAATTAATATTATAGACATAAATTGTTAATTATTTGTAACTATTTATTAAGCACTGACATGATTATTATATACAAAAATATTTTATTTATTATTATTATTATTATATTTATTTAAGTTAATTTTTGGTTCGTAGAAAAATATGAACATGAATTCAATTAAGTGAAAATAGAATATTAGCGTTAAATTTTTTATTCAAAGTTTATGTGGGTCAACACGAATACAAACACGAACACGACACGAAAATAAACAGGTCAACTCGACACGAGACAATTAGTTAAATGANTTAAGTGAAAATAGAATATTAGCGTTAAATTTTTTATTCAAAGTTTATGTGGGTCAATACGAATACAAACACGAACACGACATGAAAATAAACAGGTCAACTTGACACGAGACAATTAGTTAAATGAGTTGAGTTTGGTTTAACTAATGTTTGACACAAATCAATAATGACTCAACACGAATCTGACACGACACGACTCTATTGTCACCCATAATTTTAACGAATACAAAAAACAAATGTAATCAATTTTATTTTTTATCCACCCTACCAAATACAAATGAAGGAAAACATATCATTCCTACTTTCTATTCTTCCTATCAAACGGATTCCTACTTTTTATTCTTCCTATCAAACGAAACATCAGATAAATATACCCCCAAGGCCACACCGGTATCTAGATGCAACATGATATTAATGGCATGAACCGGAAGAGACCCCCCCCCCCCCCCCCCCCCC